AGTCGAACGACAGTCGATGTCCCTAAAGTTCTTGTCAGGAAGTAACGAGTTTTTTTATCTCAATTTGCAATTATCTACCTCTCAATTGACTCCATATTAATTAAAAATAGCTCAACTTGCCAAACAACTCGAAATTGAGTTGAAAAAAAAAAGATTTTTAAATTTTACAGTTCCATAAATTAATTTAGTACCACATGGTCAAATTTTCTGTGACAATTTTTGATCTCATAAAAAACGACTTAAGCATAAACTCATCAAGATCTTTTATCGATAATTCTCAACAAGCCCTATTTTCTTTATGAATAAATATGGAAATAATAAGAATTAATAAGTTATCTTTATGAATTAAAATGGGAAGAATTCGATGGATATATATTAAATATTCACTATATAAAAATTATGGCTTGCTGGCAGTGACCAGTCTCACTTTCAATTGGCAGCCATTATCTGAAACTTGATTTTTCTTTATTTTCAATTCCTTTCTTCCTTCACTTCTCACTGAACCGTCTACCGTCATCTTTAACCTACAGCTTAGCCAATGTCACCAAAAAGCAGTAGAGCTGTACAATTGATTCAATAACTATACTATAGTTATTGAATTAAAAATTTAAACTATGTAAACTATTAACCATATTTTATTATCTCGAGAAACTCTTTTATCCCATAGGCTCAATTCAATGAACCAGCATGCTTCTGTTTCATGTTGCCATGATATGAAGTATGAAACTTTTTCAACATCACTTGATGGATTCAAATCATCTATGAACCATTAAACTAGACGAGAGTTTGTTCTGACTTTGTTGGAGATTTGGTGAACTGTTATTCTATTTCGGTTCCAAACACTGCGGTGTCACAAAGAAAAATATATATAGCGGTGTTATGATCTAATATATATAGCGGTGTTATGATCTAATATATATAGCGGTGTTATGATCTAATATATATAGCGGTGTNTCAAACAGTTCAACACTGGGACCAAACATTTAGCAAGCTTGAAACTCGGAGTGTTGTAAGCAGCAAAAATGGGTCTAAACTGAAATTTCGAAGCGAAATCTGGCTTCGAAGTTTCAAGTTTCACAAAATATACAGAACCTTCTGCACATAACACAAAGTAATGAGGGACACTTCGTTATTTTTTTGTTTATTTCCAAAGCTCGCGTCGTAACTCAAAAAATTAAATTGGTTTTGTTTATAAAATTAGGCAACTCTTTCTGCACGTAGCACTGATACGACTTTCTGCAGAGCCAAACTAATTGTTTGTAACTAATTAATTGTTTAATTTAAACAAACTCCAAATAGCAGGAATTGTTATTTGAACAAAAGCTCACTTATTTCTCTTTCTGTGTATGTGGGTACGACTTACTTTTGATGCCGTTGAATGTTCAAATGAAAGTCAATATAATTTTAATAATGATTTATTTATATAGAAGAGCTGCAATTACACTGAAAAACTCGGAGAGAAAAATAAACTGTACGAACACGTATAAAATTAAGCCATCGCCTGAGCAGATCACAATCTCGCCCTACATTCATGATGCCAGCATATATTTCTGTATTGATATTTTAACCTAATGAGTTTACCCTAAAGACTTTATATATCATTAATGTTCCATGAAAATTTTACCCTAAAGACTTTATTTACCCTTAATGTTCCTTGAAATTTTACCCTAAAGACTTTATTTACCCTAAATGTTCCATGGACAGGTTACCCTAACGAGTTTACTTTGACGGTTCCTCAGAAAGATTACTTTAAAAAGGTCATTCATACATAAGTTTCTTTGTGAAGGTAACCCTATAAAGAGGTAATTTCAGGGGTCACTGAAAAGGTTACCCTAAAATGTTCAATTAGCCTTAAGGTTCCTTAAAAGGTAATTACCTTGAAGAGTTAACCCTTACTTTTCCTCAAAAAGTTACCCTATAGAGTTATGCAAACCTTCCATAAGCACGAAAACATGCATTTACATTTTTGTTAATGTGACAAAGAAATAATATTGACTAGGTTAGAAATTTAAATAAATATTTCGGCAAGATTTTCGGCTTTCCTGGTCGAGTATAGAGATAGCGTCTAAATTATTGTAGGAACCATTCGTATTTTATGTCACTTGAATTTCACTGCATTATTCATAAAGAAATATTCACGTGTTCCGTTACACTAAAGTTGCCCTTCAAACCAGAGTTGCCAGATGGTCTTTTTTCCGGACAAATTCCGCGATTTAGTTTTTCCAATTGCGTTGGCCGGCTAAAATTTATGATAGCGGTTCTTCCTAATTAAATTTTAGAAAGTGCAAAAAATGGAAAATTGAATTTTTATACCAGAACCTACAAATATACTACTACATATTGAGTTAAAGACCTTTTTGGCCTTTTTTCTCCGCGGACAAAAGGCCATCAGGCAACCCTGCTTCAAACAATAGATTGTGGCATACAGAAAGCCCTTCGATTATATATCTCTAGAGTTCTATTGATTTAAATAGACAGAAAACGAATCTCTATTTATTTAGCGCTTAGAAATAATATATACTGATATTATGCATAGATAATATGTGACAATGAATATAATTATTCTACCATAAAAAAGCTAAGCAGTGACTGCACTTCTTGCCTAAACAAAGAACACTATCAGCAGACGCGTGGGAAATCGCATTCCTTTAACCCTCGTCCCATTCGTTTACCCTTAGCTCATTCCTTACTCGTAGCACATTATCTAAAAACTAAGATTTCACATTGGCCTTTTATCTGAAAAACTTAAAACTTAGTCCATCATATCAAATCGTATCCTTTTCAATCACTACTCAGTCGACTTTTAATCTCAATCAGTGATTTTTTACCATTTGTTTAATTAAGCTCACTATCTGATTCCTCTTTTTTTCAACTCAATGGTTGCCACATTAGCACCCTTTTTATCTCATCCACTATCTCACCGTTGATCCCATTTCTATCTGCTCTTTAACTCACCGTCTATGTTCCTTTAATCTCACCTCTTATTTCCCCCATTACCTTACCCTTAACTCATATTCATTTCCCTCTTTATCTCGCCTTTATTTCTCTTTTATCTCACCCTTTATCTTCCTCTTTATTTCCCTCTTCATCTCTCTCAGCATCTAAACCCTTAGTTCTTATTTGAACGCGTTATCTCCCTCTTGATCTTAACCCTTTGCCTTGTTTTAACCCTTTACCTTCCTATTTATCTCAACCCTTTAAACCCATTATCTTGTTCTGCCTCTGCATCCTAACCCTCGCTATTTTAGCCATTAGTGAGCCCCAGTCACAATATTCTACACGTTAACCAACACTTTGCCCTGCCCGGCATAGCGAGAGACTTCACTACCTACTAACACATACGCAATTATGCATGAATATTGAAGAAAACACTAGTATTGTGGGACACAAGGTTACCTAGTGCTGGGTGGGGGGTAGAGGGCTACCTAGTGTTGAAGTAGGGTTACTGGAATACTTAATAAAAGAAGGGGTTCAGGACTATCTGGATTGAAGTGTTGGTAGAGGCTACCTAGCATATGGGGGAGGGACCCAACTAGTTGGGTGGTATGAGCTTGTGCAGACCACGTATCCTAATTGTAATGCTATTTTAGTACATAAATAAATGAATATTTACACGGTTAAATCTCAGTGAAGGGTTATAATATTTTAATACATCTGCAATACTTATCCATTATATGGTAATACATCTGCATTGGTTACCCCGTCACTGGTAATGCATGTTCAGTAGTTACCTCGTCACTACGGCGTCGGTAATATGTCTACAGAAATTACTTCGTACTTTTTAATACTTCTATGGCATATAAGGTTCATTATAATTTAGTAATACGACAAAAGACACGAAAAATGTATATCGTAAAGTATATATCAGCACAGACTCCCTCCGGCATAAAGTAACACAAAGTTAAGCGCTCATTAAAAAATGCAGTTTAAATTTTTTCCCATTTGTTAGTCGGTTAGACAAAAAAATAGATTGCTCGCTATAAAAACCTGTTTTCAATTAAACCGTATTTCTCCGGAAAGTACCTCAAACAAATGTAAAGTGCATCTAGTGTGCTTGTAGTGCACCACCATGTCCGCTGTACGACATCATGGGCATTAAGTTGGCGGAGGTACGCGTGTGGCGGCCAATCAGGGCGCGGCAACGCAGTGACTGGCGGGAGCGGCAGCAACATACCTCCTTGACTGCCAGTGACGCACTGAGCAGCTTGCGGGTGACCGTTTAGTATGACACAATAATGACACTATCAAAGAATATGCAAGCTAGTGGGAATAATTTGTCTGAATAATTATATTGATTTAGATTTGACATTAGATGCGAGACTAATAACAGATATTACTTGAGATTTGCCGTCAAATTTTTACGAAGTTCATTAGAAACGAGAGCTCAAAAAGTCACACAAATCTGAACTTGCTAAGCATTATGGAAATAAATTATTAGACTGAATGCTGAACATCACTTTCTAAAAAGAAATGAAATAAATGAATATGTGAAGACTACTTCACTACACGGGAAGGTTGAACCATACATTTCACACTCCATTCAACCATTTTTCATTCAGTCCAAGCTTTGAAAATGTGCAAGTAATTTTTTAAATAAAGGAACTTATCTTACGAAGAATATGATGACTAAATATTGTAGGATTTGAGAATTAAGTCTAATTCAGAAGTTATATTGAATATTGTTTTGTTGTTCCCGTGATTATTTTTATAGTTCACGATATCCTCGCAATTACTCTAACTATTAGGTATTATCCCCAACTACAGGTATTTGAGGTAATTTTTTTCCCACGTGAGCATTTTACGAGAACTCATTCCCTACCTCCTAAGCATTGACGTCAATTTAGTAAATTTATTGCAGACCTAACGGGAATGGTTAGCGGCCGCCCACTCAACGGGAGTGGTCAATGGCCGCCCACTCAACGGGAGTGGTCAGTGGCCGCCCACTCAACGAGAGTGGTCAATGGCTGTCCACCCAAAGGTAGTGGTCACTGGCCGCCCACTCAACGGGAGTGATCAGCGGCCGCACACTCTATGGGGTTGGGTGCAGTGGAGGGGTAAGATTTTTTGCGTGCACTTGGCGCCGAAAATTTGCGACTGGGGCCGAGGTGGTCGCCAAGAATTTTCGTGGTGACAGTAGCGGAGCGGCCAGCCTGCCGGAAGGGGTTGTTGATACTCGAAGCTACGGTGGTCGTAGCCTGGGGCTCGGGGTTGGGCCAGTTCAAGGCGGAGATGTGGATGGGACTTGTGGCCGACTTCTCCACGTTCGTGGACTTGATGACACTTATAGTGCAAGAGCTGCTGGACTTGGAGGAGCTCTGGTGCAGGTCGTCAGTGGACTTGGTGGCTGACGGAGAAATTAAATTCGTCAGCGAACCTCCGGTCTCTGAAAATGACATCGATGACAGCCCTGATCTGGTCAGGAGGCTGTCCTCGCTCCCAGCTTTCTTGAGCAGTTCGCGTTTCTCTTTAGCGGTTATTGGGGCCTTCACCTGGGCTTTCTTGTTGAGTTCCTCAAGAAATTGGTCTATGTTGGGCACCGACAGACGACTCCCCGTCTTCTGTATGTTCTGCAGGCGCAGGTACTGTTCCTGGAGCTGTTTTTGCCGGCGTAACAAATCGAAATGTCTTTGTTCCAGAACTTCCTGCTTCTGCTTCATTTCAATTCTTCCCGAAGCTGGCGTCACGGCTGTTGGTCGCATTATTTTTTCTTCCTTTACTTTCTCAGGGTTAGTTCTGTCCACCTGAGCTTTATAATTGCGGGAAAGTTGCTGCAGGACATCAGTGTATTCTCGGACCGACTTACTCCCTTCTTTTTTAGAAGTCGTAGTGTAGCTTCGGGTGGAAGGAACCAAAGATTTATTCAGTTGAAGGTTCGACAGAGCTTCTTGCGAATTGATGCTATTGTTGCTGCTGCTGTTGCTGCTGATCCTTTCAGCCATGCCTTTGAGAGGCTCTTTAGTTGTGGCTTTAGGGTAATCCATTCTGGTGTCTGTATACCTGCTGCCATCTCTAGTTTTACTACAATTCTGGCTTGTGTCTGACTTCGCAGATTTGGTCGACGTCGATGAGATTGTGGAGGTTGTTGAATCTTCGTTGAATGAAAATGAGCTCCGAGGAAGAGGAGGACGTTGTTTCAAAACTGGCCCATGAGATGGTTTACCTTCGAAACTTGTTGGTATCGAAAAAGGATTCAAGTTGACTCCACTTGACGGAATGAACGCCCTATTGAAGGCGGAGGCAAATTGACCAGTGGGCAAAAACCCATGAGCACTCATAGGTCTGGGTAGTTCCTCGGCGTATTTAGAGTCGCGATTCCTGTTAGGACTTGTGCTTTTCGGCGAAGGATACTGAAATACGGTCCTAGTAGGACTACGTGCCTTACGGTAGGAAGGGCTTTGAGTTTGTTTAGGAGAAGAAAAGGGAGATTTTGAGCTCCGCGCTGGAGGTTGAGGAGGTAGTCGACGGCTGTCGTATTTTGGGGGCAACACGGGTGAATCTCGACCTTCCGAAGAGGTCGAGAACGAAGCGGGCAAAGCGAACCTTTGAGCCCGACGCGGGGTTTGAGGTGGGGAGAGAATTTTCAGTGGTGTTATGAGTGGGGACAGCGGCGGAGAATTTCGCGGGGACGGGCCTTTCACTGGGGAAGTAGAAGCCTGGGAATCAGAACTAGGAAAACTAGGCAGGCGCCGGATGATTATGCCATCTCGAATGATTACTCCAGCTCCCAAGAAACCAGTGGCAGATAGACTTCCGGGAAGATCCCCAACTTTTAAGGAGTCTATCCCTGTAATACAAGAATCAGAATTGATGATGGGAGTTGGAGAATTTACGGTGGTTGTGGGGGTGGGAGGGATAGCGGTTAGTAACGGCTGTACGTTAAGTAATGGGGAATTCTGCTGAGTTGTCAGAGGGGGTGGTTTGGGTTTAGACGTTTTCACAGATTGACTTTCTGATGATGACTGATGAGAAGGTAAAACTTTAGGCAAAGTGTGAGTGCCTTTAGTGAAACGATTACTGAGTGGTACAAGTGGCAAGTGCACTGAATTCATTTTCGATTTTGAAATTTGATCGGACAAATTGCGGGTACTCTCGAGCATTGCAATGCTTCCGGGCTTTAAACTTCGACCCAAATTATCGGTTAGGCTGAGTCGGCGTTCTGCTAACTCTTTCTCGGAACAATCGAAATCAAATGCTTGTTTCCGGTTGAAGTCTGTGGCCGACTGTGGCTTAGGAAAATTCAAAATGTGGTCGGTGATTGAAGGAGGTCGTTGATAACCGAGTAACATTTCCGCTGACAGGGGCTTGAAACGTCGTTCTTCGGCTAGAACCAGGCTCGCGGAGCCGTTTGCATCGAATCTTCTAGGTAGTTGATCTCCGGCAAGTAAGGTAGGATTGAAAATAGTCTTGGTGAACGGCCGACGTCCCAGAGAATTCGTCCCACTGATAGGTGGTCCCTCACTCAACCCCCCCGATGCCGCCATGGAAGCAGCTGACGCCCCCAATTCCAGACCAGAAGGGGACAAAGATTCCTGAATGTTGCGCGAATCACGTCGCCTGTCTTGGTTCCTATTTAATATTGTCTCGAGTTGNGGTCAGTTGTGTTGGTGTAGGTCAGTTGTGTTGGTGTAGGTCAGTTGTGTTGGTGTAGGTCAGTTGTGTTGGTGTAGGTCAGTTGTGTTGGTGTAGGTCAGTTGTGTTGGTGTAGGTCAGTTGTGTTGGTGTAGGTCAGTTGTGTTGGTGTAGGTCAGTTGTGTTGGTGTAGGTCAGTTGTGTTGGTGTAGGTCAGTTGTGTTGGTGTAGGTCAGTTGTGTTGGTGTAGGTCAGTTGTGTTGGTGTAGGTCAGTTGTGTTGGTGTAGGTCAGTTGTGTTGGTGTAGGTCAGTTGTGTTGGTGTAGGTCAGTTGTGTTGGTGTAGGTCAGTTGTGTTGGTGTAGGTCAGTTGTGTTGGTGTAGGTCAGTTGTGTAATTAAGATGATGTTTTGATCAAGATAATGAATGTCAATTATATATTACATGTCAATTATATCAATTATATAATTAATTAATGTAGAAATAACAATAAATGATTTGTATGATGTTGTTGATGATGTAGTGATCAATAAGAAGAAATGCGTATAAATAAGATAATATAACATAATAAGATAAATATTCATAAATAAGATAGCATGAAGTATAACAATAGACGTAAATAACAAGCCAATTATCAACACATGATTGTATTGTATAACAGATGTTGTAACAATATACAAAGATACATATTGTATAGCCATCAATAGAATGTATTGAATGATTCACGCGACCAATTCGAGAGAGGCGTGGCGCGATGGTTCATAACTTCAATGGCAAAAAATAGGCTAGGAAAAATAGGTACAGAAAATAGGTACGGAAAACAGGTGAAGAAAATAGGTACGTAAAATGGGTGAAAAAAATGGGTACGGAAAATTGGTGAAGAAAAATAGGTACGGAAAATAGGTGAAAAAATGGGTAAGAAAAATCGGTGCATAAAATAGGGATGGCAAATAAGTGCCAAAAAAAAGAAACACAGAAAATAGAAAAAGGAAAATAGTCGAGAAGAAAATAGGAGTGAAAAATAAGAGCAGAAAAAAGGCAGAGAAAAAGTAGCGGAAAATGTCCTCAGAAAATAAATGGTGTGTGCGGTGGTCCAGGGCAGCGGTGGGCGGGGGGAGGGGAAACATAGCATTAGTATCATCGAACCTTAGTGGCATTATGATGATGGTGGTGATGGTGATGTGTAGTGATGGGTGATGGTGAAGTGTGGTGATGTGTGGTGATGATGTGTGGTGATGAAGATGTGTGGTGATGATGTGGTGATGGGTGGTGATGTGTGGTGATGTGTGGGGATGATGTGTGATGATGGGTGATGGTAAAGATGTGTGGTGATGATGTGTAGTGAAGTGTGGTGATGATGGTGGAGCTTATGATGGTGGTGATGGTGATGTGTAGTGATGGGTGATGGTGAAGTGTGGTGATGTGTGGTGATGATGTGTGGTGATGTGTGGTGATGATGATGGAGCTTCATTGTACAACAGTCACGCTTTGCGTATCATTATGATGATGTGTGGTGATGGGCGCTGTGAAGTGTGGTGATGTATGGTGATGGTGTGGCGTGGTGATGATGTGTGATGGTGAAGTGTGGTGAAGTGTGGTGATGATGTGTGGTGATGTGTGGTGATGTGTGGTGATGTGTGGGGATGGATGGTGGTGATGTGTGGTGATGATGGGTGATGATGTGTGGTGATGTGTGATGGTGAAGTGTGGTGATGTGTGGTGATGATGTGTGGTGATGATGTGTGGTGATGATGTGTGGTGATGGGTGATGGTGATGGGTGATGGTGATGTGTGGTGATGTGAGGTGGTGATGTGTGGTGATGTGAGGTGATGATGTGTAGTGATGATGGGTGGTGATGGGTGATGGTGATGGGTGATGGTGATGTGTGGTGATGTGAGGTGGTGATGTGTGGTGATGATGTGTAGTGATGATGGGTGGTGATGGGTGATGGTGAAGTGTGGTGAAGTGTGGTGATGTGTGGTGATGTGTGGTGATGTGTGGTGATGTGTGGTGATGTGTGGTGATGATGTATGGGGATGATGTGTAGTGATATGTGATGGTGAAGTGGCGTGATGATGATGTGTGGTGGTGATGGGTGATGATGTGTTATGGTGATGTGTGGTGATGATGGTGGAGTCTCATTACACAACAGCCACACTACTCCTCATCACACGACGGTCACTCGGTCCCTCATCACAACACAATTTTATTCAAGATGACAATGATATGGTGATGATGGTAGTTTTATAATGATACAAACTTATACAAATTATAGTGGGGACTTTTGTATAGTGACATACACATTACCCAATCCTATTGTAATAATAGGCTAGTTAGTCTTAGCAACCGCGCTTGGTGTTCAGTGAACCGTGCCGTATGTGGCCCCAGGTTTGGTTCCATGCAGAGCTGGTGCTTGCATAGTGCGTCTATATTTACAAAAGGTGTTAACCCCGTAAAAATTCACAGGCGCGTCAGCTTCTGATTTGGAGTACCAGAAGCTGGGGCGACTCTAAATTTTGTTAGGGAAGGTTCATAATTTCAATGCAAATTTTCGTTTTGGTTAAATTCAAATTTGGGTATAATCAACCTACGTTTAGTAACGTGGAAACATGTGTATGACGCATGCTAGGGCATGCTAGGTTTACAGGGGCATGCTAGACATGCTGGATAGAGCATGTTTCATAGATGTAACGCCCATGCCAGTGAAAGCGTTACATGCTTCAAAAAGTTATAGGACTGCCTCACTCAAATGTCGTCTAACAGTTCATTCTTCTTCGATATTTGAAAAATACCGATATTTCAACAAGAGATTTTTAAAAGACCTATATTTAAACAAGAGAAAGACATTGTGCATATATATTGAGGACCATGTTATGTACCAAAAGTTGTAACATGCGTCCAGTGTTGTAAGATGTACCAAGTCATGAAGGACTTGGATAAAATATGTAGTTTACATGTTATCCAAAGGCGTAGATAACATGTAGATTGAGGGATAGCACGTAGTTTACATGTATGTGAAGCATAATACTCAATACACATTCATGGCTAAACAAGTAGATAGGGGAACATGAAATTTTAATACGTCAATAGAAAAAAATTAATAGTGCGGGAACAGTGCGTGTGCGGTGAACCATGTTGTACAGCCCCAGCCTCGCCTCGACTAGCCTAAGCTCAACTCGCCTCACCTCGACTTGCCTAGGCTCAACTCGTCCCACCTCGACTAGCCTAGGCTCAACTCGCCTCACCTCGACTTGCCTAAGCTCAACTCGCCTCACCCCGACTTGTCTAGGCTCAACACACCTCACCTCGACTTGCCTAGGCTCAACTCGCCTCACCCCGACTTGTCTAGGCTCAACACACCTCACCTCGACTAGCCTAGGCTCAACTCGCCTCACCCCGACTAGCCTAGGCTCAATTCGCTTCACCCCGATTTGTCTAGGCTCAACTCGCCTCACTCCGACTAGCCTAAGCTCAACTCGCCTCACCTCGACTAGCCTAAGCTAAACTCGCCTCACCTCGACCAGACCATCATTCAATAGTTCGTGTGGTTTGGAGTTGCAAGCTATCCTCAGCAGAAGCAAAATCATTTCATGCTTTACCCGCATTATTGCTTGCCCCACTACAACAAACATAATCTATCCACGAAGTGGGGAAAAAACAAAACTCAACTTTATCTTTCAACCCAAAATGCCAGTACAATTTTCTTGAACGAATTCTGCAGGAATTTCTTCAACAGGGATAAAACTGAGACAGACAAATCAAGGGATTTATGATTTGTCCGTCCGTTAAGTTTTTTGAGGAAGAAAATCGATTTTCCTCAAAATACTTGACCGAATATAAGAACTTATTTAGAAATCAGCATGGCACTCACAACAACGTCTATTGATTATTCGATATTCAACAAAACGTTTTCAAAAGAAACAATCATTTTCAGAAGAATATCCATTCTGCGTGTGAAGTGCTTGTCGGAACGAGCTAATAAATACTTATAGGTTTGTGAATAGGTTGGTGAATAGGCTGGTGAATAGGTTGGTGAATTGGTTGGTTAATGGGTTGGTGAATAGGTTGGTGAATAGGATGGTGAATAGGTTGTTGAGTAGGTTGGTAAATAGGTCAGTGAATAGGTTGGTGAATAAGTTGATGGGTAGGTAAGTGAATATGTTGATGAATAGGTTGGTGAATAAGTTGGTAATTAAGTTGGTGAACAGGTTGGTGAATATGTTGGTGAACAGGTTGGTGAATATGTTGGTGAATAAATTGATGGGTAGGTAAGGGATAGGTTGATGGCCAAAACTCTCTTTCGCGTTCACTCAACTATACTCATGAAGTATTCCTTCACTATGCTGCTATCACTGATCTTTATTAAAGGTTAAGTGGGATATTAACTAAGTATCAATGAATCATTGCTTAATTATTATTGAATTTCATCTAAGTATGCCTCCATCACACCCACTCCACATTTGCCACACACCATTTAAGG